TATATATATATATATATATACATATATATATGGAGAACATGCTTACACTTATCGTAAATCATGGATACACTGTCCCTCTGCCTGGCTCGGGGGGAGCATCTCTGCAAACTTCTGGGTCAACTCGTCGACCTCCTTCTTGCAGTCCTGCCCCGCCTGCTTCTCCTTCTCGGCCTTGTCCATATTATCCTTCTTCTCCTGCTCCATCTGTTCGTCGAGCTCCTTGATCAGGCCGTCCAGGTAGTCCTCCGGGATCGGGTCGCTGTTGTCGACCTGGTCGGCCAGAGATGCGAGACATGTTGAACCCCAAACCCTAAACCCTAAACCCCCTATATTAATCATCCATATATACGGCCGTGTGCCTCAGCAGCAGTGGCCCCAGTCTTCGGAGACGTGGGCTCACGGAAATCCGTTGCCTGCATATATATATATATGTATATATATATATATATAAGCTTAATATACAAACGATGAATATAACTGTATATATAGATATACAGACACATACACACGATATGTATATACAGTACTTGACACCCGCCTTGCCCCTGCGGAGGGAATCCGGCACCGTTGCCTGCACGTGTTCTCGGTCCGTTGAATTTATAGTATATATGTATACATATATATATATATATATTACATGTTGTCGTGTATCTAACCGAGGGCAACGACCTATCTCATGAATAAGACCAGGTGTCTTGTCATATTCACTCTAGAAGGAAACAAGTATATGTAACATGTGTCACTGTACTACAATTGTTAGTCCATGTATATTTTCAGAATTATACATCTAGGTGTATTATATATATATATAGATATATGTATAGATATGTTATATATATATATATATATATAGATGAATATCGGCATATAAATATATACATATATAAGAAAGAAAGTTCATATCTATGTATATTTGTATCTTTGATATAATCTCTCTCATGTGCCTTTGCAGCCTCTTGGCTGGCTTCGGCCATGCTTGCAACCCGCTGCAGCGAGGCATCTACGTCCATGATCGCAGGCACCGGGATCGTCACCTGCAGTTTTGGTGTGAAGTATTGTATTTTATTTATAATTTATAAAGCAAATAGATTTTTGAGGTGTACGTTTGCATATAAACATATATATATATATATATATACAAACACATGTATTTATATATATATATATATATGAACCTATAGACATATGTAGCTAGACATATATATCTCTTTATACACACAAAGATACACATATACATACATATATGTGGATCACACACAGACTGACACAACCTGGGTTTCGGACTGCTGTGGCTCCGCCGCCACCTGCTGCCTTGTCAGGTTCCGGCTCCTGCAAATTGGGTTTGTGGCCATGGACATGGAACATGTTTACACTGGCTGGGTAACTATCACACATGTCTTTATGTGTTTGTGGTTTGAGCAGTATACTATTGTTGGATATCTATACATATATATATGCATTATCTATATATCTATATCTATATCTATATATATATAAAGTATACACATATAAATATATATGAGCTCCAGGTCCAGGCCAATGGGGAACACGTGGATGCAGTCCTCCACCTGTGTGCTCGGCAGTGTGTCCGGCACGTCCAGTTCCATGGGGTAGGGCAGGGTCTCCGGCTGTCGATCCTCCTCGACTCCCGGGTCTTATGCATCCATTGGCTATTTCTGTGCATGCTTTTAAGTATCATCTAGCCAGGTTTGCACTCCCATCGGAAGTTCCTCCAACATGACTTTTTCCAGCTCCTTGTTCAGATCAGAGGACTTGTCGCCTGGACCGAGACTGAAAACAGCTATGTATTGACAGAAGAAGCTACAATGCACCACATGCCGGAAGTCTGCATCTCAAAGAGATTCATATATACATATATATAATATATGCAAGGATACGTACAAATGTATTTCTGTTTGGATTTATATGTATACATACATACAATATATGTCCATCATATATAGGTACTGATATACATATTATAATCATAAACCCTAATTAATGTAGTTACTGTGCATGAGAGGAAATTTAACTATTGTATCTTCTGTTCAAGCCATAGGCATGATAATGTCTATGTGTATATTATGATATGTAGATTTTTGCATATATATATATATATAATAGACATAGGTGTGTGTACAATATCTATATATATATATATATATATATATATATATCACACAAACATACATATATATATATATATATATGCATATATATATATATATATACATATATATATATATATATCTTGTGATCTGCTTTTCACAATCCATGCCTGACATCACCGTGTCGGCACTGTCCAGCCGGTGTGGCTTGTCTTCCTTTTTCTTCTTATGGTCCGGAGTCTTCGTTGGGGTCTTCGTGGGGGTCGCAGACACGGCCACGGTCTTCTTCGGCGGGCGGGATCTCTTCCGGGTCTCGGCCGACTGGGCCGGCTTGGCCGACTCGACCGACTTGGTCGGCTGGGACGACGAAGTAGCCTCGGATTGTTAGCAAG